GAACGGAATTAATTCGGATTAATCGGATGGTATGTCTCGGCCTTGCTTCCACGTAAGATCTTATCGGTTAGGCATTTACGTCATGACAAAGGTACAATTTTAGGGTTGGGTCTATTTTTAGAGCAGTACTAATATCATAGTAGACCATGATTCTACATATTCACTAATAGCCTGATAACTTCTATCGATGAAACGAGGGGTACCCATCGGCACGAGAGAATCATTAAAGATTGTGTTAAAATAAAAATAACGCTGGTAATGAAGTATCCAGCTATTTTGTTGTGATAAAATAAATCCAAGACTGCATTAGACTGGTTTTATCTTCATTGCATTGAAATGATCACAAACTGTTCTAAATTCCAACTGGTCAATTTGTCTCTAGTACTTAAAGATCGGTGTAACAAGAAGATACGATTAACAGAAAAATAGATAGACAGACAACCACATAGTGGAATATGAGGAGAACTCATATGTAAGGCATTCGAAATGATCACACAACTGATCGGAATTTGACCATTAGGATAGAACTAGCGCATTCGACAGTCACATGCTTAGTTAGAGATTGTATTCTCAAATGAATGTTCAGTTATATTCGTTTAAAATATCCGTATTGAATACCTTAGGAATTTCGCAGTGTGTTTTACCCAAAATTTGTAATGTACATGTATGCAGTGAATACAATGTTGAGAACGTTCGTTTTATGACCTTCGATAACATTACAGAATTATGGTCTAGTTCGTTATTAGTACAACTATAATAATAAACATTATCCTAAAATTGTAGATTTGTCATGATATGAAAACCTAATCTATATGATCTTACGTGAAAGTCACATCATTATCTATTCTGATTCGTAACAATCAGCAGTATGATGTTCGGAGTTTCTAAAGAACATACGTAGACTGTAGATAGAACAACATATGTAATATGTATAAAAGAGATGAGCTACACAAGAATGATCACGCCTGCAAGACTCAGCCATGCCATCAGATTGAATAATAAAAAGTTCCCACCTTCTCCCCTGTCAGACGTCTCTCCGTGTTAAATGTTTAATATCTATTTTCCCAGTTGTTTCACGTTCAGCCTTAAGGATTGTGTGGTTATGACCAATATTACTACAACATTTAACTGAGTTTAGGTGCTTCTAATTACTTCTGAAATGTGCATAGTCGAGAAAAGCAAACAGTATTCAGTGCTTCGCTGTGCGAATCAGAAGGATCAACAGGTGAGTTATTTTGTATTTATACTAATCATTTACAAGCAAATGCGTTTAAGAAACTGGAGGAGGTAATTGATAGCTAAACTGCGGAACTGTGGGATTGATATATTATAGCCAAGTCAAGTGATGAGGAGCCAGCAGAACAGTTAAATGAAAGGTTTAAACTATCAAACCACAAATCGATACTTAGAACTCCGAGTGGCTTTAAAAGATGATGTTACTCATTAACATGAAAATATAAGGAAGTGCGCCTGAACTTTTTTATTGTATTGTAACCCATTCCTGCTGATTCCTTAGACTTTTATTTTGGAGCCAAGGTACCACTTGTTTTGTCTTTCAGGTGAAAGGTATTGAGAAGACTTTAGGTCCCATTAGATACTAGCTGTAATACACTTTAAGTATGTATGTGTATGAAGACCCACCAAACATACAGTTCCAGTATTCGTAATTCTTCGTTCGTATCGTGTCTTTAGTGTTATTCCTTTTGCTTTCGGTATAACTCATGCTGTGGTGTGTACTAATTGTAAGACAGATGTGAGCAGTATATATCAGGAATTGAAAGTAGATTTCTCATGAACAGAAGAGGAAGGAAAACAGAAAGCAGTCCAAATAACAATATCAATGAAAGTTCGAAGGAGTTTGTATGGGATAAGTCAGTAAATGTGAACAATTAGTGTATTTAATGGATTGCTTTCATCTTTTACCAACACAGTGTGTGATTTTGTTTAACACAGTGAATCAGTTTATCAACCAAGACTACTTTTGTCACTATATTACATCTCTTTCGGGTTACTAACAATTATTCATCACATCATTATGGATTTGAAACTGGAGCATTTGATGTCGGTCGAGTTTAATACAACAACCAATACCGCTTTTGTACGATCTTTTAAGTTATTACGCAAGAAATCTTGCTAGATGATATTAAGACAGGGACGTTTCACAATGGTAATGAGAAGTTAAAGCAGTTAGTCACTAAGATAAATTTCAACAATGCCCAATTGGAAAACCTCTATGATCATTTGAGTACTTTAACCCCTATATCCTTTGAGATTTAAAGTTGCATTCAAGCTAAACTAGTGGATATAGAGCACCAGCTTCATTCTCACAGACTGAGGCAGAGAAGCAAATTAACTTCTCAGCATATCAAATCATTACAAGAATTGCGAAATGATGCTGATATTATCATAGTTGAACCTGATAACGTATCAGATGTTGTTGTCATGAATAAGTCTGATTACAAAAGTAAAAAGGAATCTATTCTCAATGATTAAAGTAAATATATGTCCTACACTAACTCTGATGGATCACTTAATTTTTAAAAGAAGGTAAACTCGAATCTCATAAAATTGTTAAATATGAATACTTTTAACAAAAGGAGTTTAGTTTATTAAAACCTACGGGTTCTGTGTACTCAAATGATGTGTGTGTCAGAACGATAATTATTGACTGTTTGCTCAGTCAGCCTTGTAGATTGTCTGACAGGTGTTAGATTAGTTATTTATTCTCCTGTTCTTATTATTATCGATTGTTGGTTGCTGTGAATTTTGTGTCGGTTTTTGGAATGGAAATATATTTACGTTCTAGTCAGGCTAATCACGTGTTCGTGATCTGTTGGAGTCCTACAGAATAAACTCTAGAAGGGAATCTAGTGTAGATATTCGTCTAAGGTAAATTAACGTCTCGTGCAGACAAAGAAAACCGATCGTTATGACACTTAGTTTATATGAATCACTAAAAATCCATAAATCCAATACCCCTTTAAATCAATTCTATCAACGTGTCGATCATCTACACACAATTTTGCAAAATGGCTCACAAAAGTATCAAACCCCATCCGAAATCAATTTTGTGAGTATTTTTTCGAATGACTCACTTAGATTGATTAAGTTAAGGTGGTAAATAAATCCCCAAATTAAATAGCTCTGTAAGTCTTGAACATTCGATGCTGACCACATTAGTTTTAATGGACTAACTTAGCTGAAGGCGCTCGGTCATGCATCCGCACCAGATCACGAGTGGGAACACCGTGCTCAACATCCCTTGCAATCGCTAGCAAGCCCAGATCGGGTGATTCTCGATATATTTGAAGATGCCATAGGTATTTAGAGTTTGACAACGCTTTAACCAGTAACAATTTCTACTATGAATCGCACCCTCCAAATGAAATCAAAAGATAGAAGCGAGGAAGTTCGAAGAAATATTTGATGGGTTATCAATATATCGTGGATCGACTCATCTAATCTGGCTAGCGATTGTAGGTGATGTTGAGCACGGTGTTCCCACTCGTGATCTGGTGCGGATGCATGACCGAGCGCCTTCAGCTAGGTAAGTCCATTAAAACCAATGTGGTCAGCATCGAATGTCCAAGACTTACAGAGGTATTTATTTACTGCTACATATTGATAACCTATCAAATATATCTTTGAACCTCTTCGCTTCGGTCTTTTAATTACACTTGATGAGTACGATTCATAGTAGAAATTGTTACTGGTTAAAGCGTTGTCAAACTTTAAATACCTGTGGCATCTTCAAAGTACTTAATCGATAATTTGAAACTAAGACAATATGCGCTTTATTTACGAATGTACATTTTAGGAAGGCTGATAATACTTCATGTGACCATATTTCATTAAATAACATTCCGTTGCCAATTTCTGTTAAAAACCCTTAAAGATTTATTACTATTATGTACTGACAATGTGAAATCCGTTTTTGAGGTCAAGCGCTTTCGACAAATCGATGGCGTAGCTATGGGTAGCCCTTTAGAACCGTTGTTGGCCGATGTGCTTATGGGGTATGTAGAGAATTTAGCTGAAGACTCAATTCTGAAGATGTGTCTGTATAAGCGGTACGCGGATGATATAATCAAATGTGATAAACGTGTAAATGTTATCATAAAACACTTTTTATTATCAGAATGAGAGACTATACTGCTGTTTAGTATATCTGTACTTTGGTTGAAAAATGTAGAGCTCGGATATGCCATGAGTGATGAACTCTAGCATCTCTTATATTATTTGAATTATGACAGTTTATACTAATTGTTAACATGGAAATATAAGAACGTGGAACTGTTACGCACTTAACTTACAGATTGAAACCTCTCTCCACCGGATTCGACTTAGGCAATCGATTATTATCGTTAGCCCTTAAACATAAAAGATGCACATTGCTGTTCAAAGTTGAGTTAACAAATTTTTTATTAAAGAAGGAACGAATTGAGCGAAGAAATTTCTTTTCAATTAGTTTTTCATCATGGCTCTACACTAATATATATACGTTTTACAATAATAATATAATACTCATCGAGTGGATACGTTACGTAATAATTACATAATGACATTTAAATTAACATTAATTAATTGGAAGAAAGAGGATTATTAATATTCAAAGTGATCAAGAAGTTGCTAAGTTGCGTAATGTAAGAAACGTAGCAACTTCTTGATCACTTTGAATATTAATAATCCTCTTTCTTCCAATTAATTAATGTTAATTTAAATGTCATTATGTAATTATTACGTAACGTATCCACTCGATGAGTATTATATTATTATTGTAAAACGTATATATATTAGTGTAGAGCCATGATGAAAAACTAATTGAAAAGAAATTTCTTCGCTCAATTCGTTCCTTCTTTATTTACCAAATGGCATAATGGAAATTTTTTATTGATAAATGAGTTATTTTATTACCTCGATTTAAACGAAACAAATTTTATTTATTTATTTTAAATGATTAAAACGAAACAACAGATTGATTTACCAACACGGATCATATGCTTGATAGGGATCAATTTCATGCTTTATTTCGAACGAATAACTAACTAAATACATGATGGTAATAAGTTGATTTTTTAGGAAAATGTAATAATAAAATATTAAAACACCGTGGATGCATGAAGTAAAATGACAGAAAACAGATAAAGGATAGTGCTGAAGAAGGTAAAAAGAAAAGATAACTGTATCACAGTAGAAATGTATACACTATGTAGTCGAGAATTTCCCCCATTTGAGGCAGCATATCTAGTGTAAAAATTTAGTAAATATGAACACCGAACTTTAATAAGCTAAAAAGTATCTTGTTTCTGCTGAAAGGTAATCAGAGAAAAATGAAAAATTTTGATAACACAAACTAAAACATAATAAATATATATCTCTTGAGTATTATATTGGGAAGTATAGCTGAAAAGTCAATCAAACATACACGCTGAAAGCAAGTCAACACATACCCATAAAAAGTGATACAAGTACAAACTGAGACGAGCTCATTTAAAGAGTATTCGAAACATCAATAAAAAATAGTAAATAACATATGATCCATGAACTCCACCAGGATATCAAGCGTACTATTGCACTATAAACAATTTAGGCACACATAAAAGATAAATTTTGATTACAAACTGATTTTAATATATGTAGGTGAAGGGTATAATAATAATTTTGTATAAACAATTTAAATAAGCGCATACTACGAAAACAATTATTCAGATGCTGAATATATTATATAAGAAGGCATGTGGAACAGATAATAAAAATCGCGTATATGAAGAGAGAGAGAAATGAATAAATTTATCCTAGTATCCATAGAAACAAAGAGATCATTGGGAGAATATATATATGTTATATCACACAGTGGGTAATGCCCATGAAATAACACTTTTATCTGCACTTGAGGTAATGAATGATAATTGATTAGGATGCCAACGTGCTTGTATAATTTTATCCGTATGCTCAGCTAATTGAACACAAGGCAATGGTTGAGATAAATCACCTAAATATTTTGATGGACAATAACACAATTTTTGAAAGAAACAAGAAAAAAACAGATCACTTAGTTTAATAACTTGAATGAATTGATGATTTGAATATAGGCATTAAAAATACTGGAGCAATGTATATAGAACTGATATTTATACTGTGAATTTTGTAAATACATAATAAAACCTTGTTATAAAAGGAAAAAAAAAGATAAACTCATTCATTAAGTTATACAGTTTATTGCAGATTTTATGAAGAGCTTATGGTGAAACATTGGATGTACTATAAAATACTTACGGAGTGAAATAATTAACCATGATAAAAATATTTAAATGATTGGGGATTTATATAATACGTATGAGTTGCAAATATAATTATTTGCTTTTTTGGCAATAAGTTTATGCAAACAGTTTTGGACATTTTCAGCTGCATAGGTGTATCGGCTTGAAAACGAAAAAGGTGGTAGTGACTGTATTAGACAGCGAAAGAGCACAATATTACTCTCAACAAACTTAACTCATAATAGATTATTATTAGAATATAATAACTCTAGACGGTAAATTTACATAATCTGAAAATCGACGGTCGATGTATTTCAAATTCTCATGTTTATATTATTATTATCAATGATAAACTATAATTGTTTTTCAATAAATAAACAACGTTAGATAACAAAAGTTAACCAGTATTTATAATAAACACACAAGGGAGAGAAAAAAAAACAATAACACAATACATTGATCATACCATGAAAGTCGGTTAATATAACACGTTTGTCATAACTAGCTGATAGTAGGTAATAAGCAGTTGGTGAGAATCGTACACTACGCACTTCATTTGAATGTGGTCTGTATGCATTGATATAACGAGCACCACGTAAATCAAATAATGATATTGTTGAATCCTCATGTCCGCTAGCGAGTAAATTACAATTTGGCTCAACAGTAACTGAAGCAAATGCACTGCCTGAATAAAGAAAACAAATTCAAAAGAACGAAATAACTAGATAATACAATTTCTTATAATTACATTGAGTTGTACAATCAGTACAATGGAGAATGATTATAAAATGCATGTGGATATAACACTCAAATAGACAGACAGAATGACAAATATACAAAAATAAGCAGATAATCAGACAGAGAGAAAGAAACGGAGCTTTGTGGGCGACTTTTTATATAACAAGAAGTAACAATGAAATAATTCACATTTCATAGTCATGTTTTTTCGTCTGTGGATACGTGGTGTCAAAATGAAGTGCAAGTCTTTCTTCCGAACGTTGCTTTAGCTGAGGATGCGCCCTTAGATGAAGCTGGGTTCGGAGTTATTCTGTATGCTCTTAGAAAATTCTGAATGACTTCCCCCTTCATTAAGTATGTGGAAAACGGTTGAACAAAGTCAATAACTGCTTAATGGAATATTTCCAATGACGTGATGCAATATCTATTGCTAATTCATGCCTGTTGTTTGAGTGGGGGGTGTCTAGTCATTTCAGCTACTCTCAAATACCGAGTATTAAAAAAACTCCACTCAGGTCAGCCTGGTATGCGGCGCATGAATTTGCCGCCACACAACCACGTATACTGATCACTGATGGATAGGGACATTAATATTATCTGATACTGATGGTACTTACCGTTAACACTTATTACCCTACCCATTGTTGAATCATTAGACATACGGTACCAAACCATTTGTTGGTGAACAAAATGGTTTAAAAGATATCTCGGTTTTGCTGTCGATGACATTGTTAAATTGCTTACTGCAAATAGATTAACTGTGGTATCTACAAAGCATATTCCATATTTTCCTGCGAACATTTCGTAGACCACCACTATACACATATATGTACGAAGCGACTAAGTAGTGTAAACAATAGTGTAAGATTAGTTATGTATTTTTAACTGTGATTATTATTAAAAAGTACGACCAAACAAAATCAATCGATAGAAATACTTCAAATATGAAGGTAAACAAATGAAGTCCCATTTTACATCATATCTAATATATTTAACCATGGAATGATATACATAAATAATCGATTAGTTGCAGTATATGTTAATACTATTACTTATTATTTATGATAATGTAAGGTAAGAATTTCGGCCTAATAATTGGGTCATACATCCATTAGAAAGAGGGTAACAATTAATTATCTCCATTTTTTCGTCGAATATTTAGTGTACAAGAATCAGTTTACAAAAAAACAAAAGCTTGTTACACTGGTCAGTCGTATTGCCTTGGTATATCAATGGATTTGACAGTCTTATGTGTCAATAATGTAATCTCATGAGCAGTTGTTACTAGGATACCATATACTCTATTATTATGCATCAATCAATCGATCCTAAATCCAACACTACATTACAGTTTTTATAATGTGATTGCGAAATTTAGAAATTGTGAAATCAACAAAATTTGATGAGTTATTATTTACGTGTAGCATTTTTCATAATGTTTATGATCTTTGGAGGTGTTCTCTCCCCTGAGTTGGATGATTCAACTGTTGAGCTTTCTTTGAACTTTTAGACAACATTATGAACATACAAATTAGCAAATTTGGTACGTAAATAGCAGTGGAAACTAAGATGCATAATAAGTTCTATTTATGATTCGTTAACTGGATCCCGGCACACGGGGACACAAGAAAACTTAAATCTTTTACCTTTCGCTCCAAACTTCAACTGAGTTCAGAGAGCCATCAAAATGATCAACAAATATGAAGTTAGTAATAAAGGTTTGTAATTCTCCGTCGTTCATATTAAGCAATGTAACAGAACAGTCTCTGATGACATATGTGTAGTGTGTGTAATGAGAGGATTTCTTCGATATTAGCCTTTAGTTACAAGCTGTACATATAGGTTGAAGGATTTCAGTCAATTCAGTCAGTTATAATGAATGTAGAATATGGTAAATATATAGATCAGTTTAAGTTAGATTGAAAGTATAGATAAGCGCAGTTAGAGGGTAAATTTACATTGGTTTTCAGGAGAACTAGACATCATCCAATTTCTTTACAACCTGGAAAGCAAACCTGAATTCTACAGCTACAAACGTGTACTAATAACTCTAGTGAACCATTTCTGACAATTGTGTCAGATCACTATTGAACCATTTATAAGAATTCAGTTTTCTAGTATAGTAATAGACGGCAAAACTAACATGTGTACACAGACATAAAAATAGACAGAACTAACCTTGTGAACCTGAATAAGATGGAACAATTAACACAGGAGCTGGAGCTCGTAAATCCCATAAACGTGCAGTAGCATCTGCACTACCAGAAACGAACAATGAGCCAGGACTCCATACAGATAATGAATAAACTGCAGCTGTGTGCCCAGACATTGAACGTACAACATAATTAGGTGGAGTGGACTTCGGTGTAGATAGATCAAATGTTTGGGCTCGATTACAATCAACAAGATAAATACGAGAATCGCCTGCACCAGCACTTAGTAAATGACTACTTGGTGTACTTGTAATTGTATCCGAACATGGATAACTTCCTAACTAGATTTAATTTGTAAAACAAAATAAACAAACAAACAAATTTAAAATACGTTTACTGGAATAACGTAACTTGCTAAAAACCGTTATTTAAATTCACACATTTTGTAATCTAAAATAACTTATTCACCATACAAATGTTTGCGTAATTGACTTTGAGTCACACTACTTCGGGTATGAGGGCTAGTGATACAGTTAGACTGAGCAAACCGAAAGTGATGGGGGGATTTGGACTTGTAATTTATTGGTTAAAAGTTGTGTGATCCAGTCGTTATAGCAACGTTTTACGTTATTATTATTTACTGGCAACACGGTAGATTACAGGATTTAATTCAGTGTTTAAACAACTAACTTTTATCGATTGTAGTAATTTGATTAGATAGTGAGGTAGCGTAATTATTTGTGTTTGAAACATAATCAGAGACTAATCGATTCATTATGAAATCGTTTGTAACAGTAGTACGTTTTAGTATGAAATTCATGGATAAAAATAAATAGGCGGATTCCACTACTTAGACGATAAATTCAAACCGTTTTCTGAAGTTGAATCCATGAGTCAATCTAAGCAAGACCACAATTGAAAACCTGAAAGCGCTGGGCAGCTGTTTTGTCCAAATATGCAATCCTTCAGAAGCGCCCATCTATGGCCCCGTATGCAGGACTCGAACACAGGGCCTTTAGTTTCGCACGAGAATATACATTGTTCACTAATTAAAAGAGATCTGTATGGATAGTCAGTCAGTCAGTAACAACGCAGAACTTCGTACGTACGTACATCAGTTCGAGTTGCCACACCACATTAGCACAGAGATGCACTTGTCGATTCAAATCCCGTAGTGGTAGAGGTAATAAGAGTATAAGCAGTAATCGGGAAGATTAGGGTTTCGAGATGTTATCTAAAGAGTATAATCCAGTGAAATAAATTTGGAAAGAGGAAAAAAGGGACATGAAGAATTCAGAAGATTAGAATTTGAGAGAACACAAAGAGTGGATGCACCTGCGCCATCGCAAACGATTTTGAGCCATGTCATTCAGGGTCTCTAACCATCGGGTGCTAACGTCTCGCGGTTCCCAACCAGGTAGTCTACACCTACCAACATGACTCAGTCCACTTGTCAGTGACTTCATGGACTTGTGCCATGTTTTGGTTTGGCCGCCTCTAGCCTTCTTCCAACCTACTCCTATACCACTGAACATAGCACGTCGAGGCAGTCGGTCGTTGGGCATACGTAACACGTGTCCCAGCCATCTCAACTGATGAAGTTTCATTACTTCATCAATTGATTTGCCATCCTTACCTAGTACCCGTTTCCTAACAACTGTGTTACTTACTCGATGGTCCCAGGACATACGAGCAATGTTTCGAAGATACCTATGATCGAATACTAGTAACCTACGGATATCCTCTACTCTTATCGGCCATGTTTCACTGCCATAAAGTAGGACGGAACGAACTGCTGCGCAGTAAACACGTCCTTTGGTTGATAAACGGATATCTCGCCTACGCCATAAATGACGCAAGTTGGTAAAAGCTAGTCGAGCCTTCTGTATCCGTGCTGAGATTTCGTCGCACACCAGACCACAAGGGCTGATCAGACTTCCAAGATAAGTGAAGCGGTCGACACACTCAACTACTTCATTCCCAATCATTAGTTCGGGTGTCGATGTAACCCAATCCTGAAGCAACATTTTGCATTTCGAGGGAGAGAATCACATGCCGAACATGCTTGCATTGTTGCTTAGAGTGGTCAGAAGACTCTGCATTTTGTCAGCGTCTTCACCAAATAAAACTATGTCATCTGCATATTCTAAGTCAACAAGTGAACCTCCTGGTAGAAGTTCAACCCCTGTATATTTAGATGAGGAGAGTGTTATCTCTAAAAGTACGTCAATGACAAAGTTGAACAAGAATGGAGAGAGTGTATGGATAAGAAGTTGACGGTGATGAATGCATTATTTTTAAAGAATTGATACGGAAAAAAATATAAGCAGATTGCAGACAGTGATCGTGATATCTGAATATAGTCATACTTTTGAATATTTTTTTAAAGGAAATTGTTATCAAGTACTGTAGTGATTTCGAAATGTACTGTACTGTAGAAGAAATAGAATTCTTTCTATACTGTTTAGAATTTCGACTACAGAAATAAAAGATGATTATTGTACAAAGAGTTTACATTGTTTTACATGTTTGATAAAGTAATTCCATATAATTAATTTTGTAGTTAAATATTTATAATCGTCTTATTTGATATACATCACATATATTCAGGGGAGATGTATAGAAGCACAATTACCAGTAGTATGTCAAATAGACACCTGTAATCAACTATAAGACATCTGAGTTCGCATGATCTCAGTTGATTTATTTAATTTATATACAGTTTATGTTTTCTTATTTTATTTTACAATACAAAGTTGTATTAAACAAATAGCCAGACAAAAATGAGTGCACATAATTTATTGTAATACCACTGTCTCGATTTTTTATAAGAAAACACATAGCATAGTCGGATGACTACTGTAGGTCGTCTTGTGTTCGAACGACTTAAACTCACTACAAAATTATTATACCGTAAAATAGTTGGTTTAACGATTGAATACCAACAAAGAATTGTCAATTTTAGTCGCATCTTTATTGATTAATAAAAACACAGTTCGTTGTTTAAAATACCTGACTTCATGGTCAACCTATCATATGAAAACTGTTTAAAGAAAGTATTATGTTATAATTAGCGACACTTATTTTTGATCTATTTTCTACTATATGAAGTAGCCTGAATCAATGACAACCAAAATAGTATCCTGACAAACTTACTAGAAATGCAATATCTCGTACTGTACCATCATGATATCTTAGTTCAATGGCTTGTCCAGCGGTACTTGCAATCTCTGGATCACCACAAGCAGCATCTGGTATGCCAGTTGTTGGGTCCATCTGAAGTAGGCGAATTGTAGTGTCGTTACTTCCTGTTGCGATAATACGACCATCTGGACTCCAAGCAACACAATATATACTACCTTTGTGGTATTTTTGACGCCTCATTAGAACTACTGGAGAAGTAGCTACATGATTAGCACTACAAGAAAAAAAACATTAAAAAATATTTACTGGATGACAAAAATTATCTTCACTTGAGACGATCATTGGAGTGTAATAGGTTCAACGAATAAATAAAACTAATCACATGTTTGTTAGTTACTTTTAGGTCATGAAAAAAAATTTATGGAGGGAGGTAACCGAAACAGATAATAGGATGAAAAACTACGAGAAGAAACGTCGCTCTACTTAAATAAACGGATGATAAATAACAGGGATGAAGATCACTACCGTGTAATATCCATTACACATAAGAAATACATATAACAGATAATACGACGAGAAATTAAAATTGAACAGATCATATAATAGATCATTTGTCAAATGTTCTTAGATATTCAAATGATCACGGTAGTATGTAAGTTTAATATTCATGTCATATAAGCTTACACAGTGAAGTGCTGTACATAAATATTTGCGATTATAACATGTATAACCTTAGAATGTTCACATAGAAGCAATGTTTTTCGAATTGTGTGTTAATTTTTCTTGTCATGGATCAATCAGTGGTAATAGTTACCCAAATCACCTCGATTTCAAAGTGATTAAACAGGTCCGACGTACACACTCATTAAAAAATGGAAGTAAAGCTTGTTCACAAACTCACCTAAGGTGCTGTAAACTAGGATATTGGCATACACGTAAAAATTTACTATTCGAACCGACAGCATACAATCGTCCAGATGGATGAAATGCAATACAACGTATTGGTTGACTATCTTCTAAAATTGTTACAGGTATGTAACGTGGAGTTTGAGGACTGGTATCAGGGGTGTCCGACACTTCACCATTAAGTTTACATGGTCTATCCACGTCAGTACGTTGTGCCTGTGGTTGTGAGGAAGAATTAACTATAGATGGTTTTTCATTTATATTAGGTTCCATAGTTTCAGACATCTGAGTAGGATTTTTTGTAGCTTGACTAATGATCTGTATAAAAAGAGAAAAATGAGTTAGTTAACAAACTAAACACACATAAGATGCTTAAATCGATTTTTCTAACATCACGGATGTTGAATCCAAGAATGAAATACAACTTGTCATCAGACAAGTTTATTAAACGTTATAACATTTTAAATCCATTTATTCAGAGCAATTACATTCTGGAGCGACAGAGCACCAAAAATATGCCCCACACAAATAAGATAGTATTTTGAATGACTAAAGAGAAGAAGGGTAGTAGTAGTACTATCACTAAAGAAGTTAACAGAGATAATATTTATTAAGTTTCACTTAAATATAAAGCCAAGGAAAGCTTCTACCAGTTTGTGAAACCCATCTTACTATGAAGATTGTAGTAGGAAACCACAGTAAGGTTGCCACTGGCTTTTATTTTGAGCCTTATCTAATAGCAACTCAAACTACTGAGTTGCATTATCTCCAGGATCCCATTCAGGTCCCGATGGACTGGCAAATGCTAGTCTTATACACCTAACTTTCGTACCACGACACCATGTCATAAACTAAACAAGCCTGTTATTTCTTCAATCCATCTCAGTTTCTTCAATTAATCTACAAAATGTAAGCCACTGAGATGACATCTGTAAAACACATTTGTAACAGTGTTTGATAGGAACAAATGAGATAGGTGAACCTTGTCCTGTCTCATGTGTTTGCGTACAGAGCCTTCAAGATGTTAATAGGGTAGACAGCACTATCGACACATGGACGGAAAACCGAGAAAAAAAGACAAAATAGTTTTAAATAATTATAGGTGGAGTGAATGTATGCTTTGGTTGAATGAATAGATTACTTGGGATAGCATAACTAAAGTCAGACCAAAATAGTGTAAACGATTGACTTTTTTAGATATCTGGCAATAAATCCCAAATAGCTTTTTACATTTTATCAGTTTATCACCCATTTATTGATATTCACGATCATATTTTACAGACTTTCATTTATTATCGTACTATATACAATAACTTAGATCTATGTAACAGTTGTTGTATTTATCTGTCCGTCTGTCACTTCATCATGATAAAGTTGGAAGATAAAGCGGTCAACTAATAACATTTCTGAAATTGATTGATCATATAAAATAAGTAGAAAGAAAATAGTTTATGATTAAGAAGAGAATATCTATAAATGAACCCCGATAATAAAATTAATTAGTCAAACGAGACAAAAATATGATTCTTTGTGGGATTTAAATCAGTGCGGGATTATAGGTGAAAAAGAGAGATAGTATACAATGGATTATATAGATATGATAAATTTGCTTGAATGAAGTTAGAGTAGTTGACTGTTACAGGCTGATAAATCATAAGCTACAGAGATTTAGATAAAAATTAATAATTTCTATATGAAAGTTAAATAATAAGTAGGCAGAAAAATAGATATTGATGAAATAAATTGGCATAAAATTTCTAGTTAAACTAAAAGATTTGAATTAGAAATAATAAGATGAACACTGAATGTGACTAAATAACAACAAATGATATTAATTTTGCACAACATTACTACCACGTTAAGTCATCGGACATGAGTAATTTATATCAGTCAAATAAACCGACATATTAACAATCCCTTATAAGTCTAAGAGAAATCAATAATTTTGTGAAATGGTGGTATTGTTTTAGATTATATTTAATCTGCATAATATGAGTATTTGCAAGTGATAACGCTAGGCTACACATAATGCAAAGCCAATTAACTAAAGAATAAATATATATGCCTGCTAAAACCTTTAAAATTTTCAACAAAATATTTTTAGTAAAGTTCTTTGGTCTAGATAATTTATTAGGGAGATTTCATTGTCGTTCTTGACCTCATCAGCGACTAATTTATGTAGAAATGAGCTTTTCAGTTATTGGACAAAAGTCATCGTGGGTATTGAAGTATTTATTTGTTTTTGCACTCATGTATATTGTGTTTTTTCCTCTGACTTACGATTAATTGATTTTTGCTACAACAGGGGTTGATAGACTGTATCTTTTTCAGTGTCTACTGATTGAGGATCTATAATTGAAAAGCTCATTTTTACATAAATTAGGTCCTGATAATGTTGTTCAATACAAAATTCAAGGCTCAGTAATTGAATTATCAGGCTCAGAGAACTCAATAATACCAAAATCAATCACCTGAACTGCAAAATTTTTCCATCGTTTCAAGAGCTACAGATTAATGAAATAGCCTTATCCACTTGATGATTTATATACTCAATAATGACAAAACAAACGATAAATAGGTAATGCATAGAAGATAAAAACACAAAAAGACAACAACTAACAGGTGTAACTGGACATGATTGATCTTCGCTATTAGCACCGGTAGTAGTATCGAGCACTTGAGAATTTTCTCTATCAATACGACGTTTTTGAAATTCATGCAATAAATCACCAGCATGTGAACCGAGTTTATGACCATCTTTATCTTGAATATAATGAAAATGATAATTGTAAAGACTTTAAACTCCAAATAAAAAATACACAAACACAAAAACAAACAAAGAAGTTATACGATAACACGTGATGATTTGATCTGTAACAAAACCCATAATGCCTAACAAAGTTTTAACGAAACTCACTAAGAAGAAAAGGACAAATTGTGTTGTAGAAATTTCGGTTGTCCAATACTGTCAGTTTACAACTAACTCACCCACAGTTTAAGTCATAAAAGTGAACGGAGTAGTAGTATTACCGTTAGTGTTAACTAACTGACTCAATATATCATGTCCTCATATCCACAAAATTGGCCTGAATTCCTATGCAACCGTATTAGTAGATTGAATAACTTTGGTAATCAGACTCGATCTAATGGATTCAATATAGCAACACAAAATATGAAATGTAGATTGACCCTAGTAACCTAGATACAATATTTAACTAGTCTAATAAACACAAAACCATGTGGGAACAATCCATTTAGCCATAAATATTTGTGATAAATCTTCTGACTGAACGCTTGAATAGGTTTCCTAAGCTCTTCTAACAACCCCAGGCCAAATCTATACAATAAGTTGAACACGAGAGAAAAGGCGCGAAATATAGACAGAACGCTTTACTTCAAGGTTAATTTATGTACAGAAAATCGAGGGTGCTTATAGCGATCCAGATGACCTTGAGCTTCTGGAAGGTTCTAGAACCCTACTAAACATAGTAGCAGGATAGATAGTCACCCAATCAGAAATGTGACACGTGACTCTTTACTTTCTGAGAAGCTTCTATTCAATACTGACCGGATAAAATGTTTCCCAGCGTTTTCAGGGCCCCTTTGGGCTGTTTTCGGGGAATACTCTGGGTTTTCTAAAAATTTGCTCTCGAGATGACGACATTATATACTTGTAAATAGTATAACGATCGGAAAAACTTGTAACATTTTAGGTAGAATTTTATTTAATACACTATCCTTCACAATACATAATACTTCTATTGTCAAATGGATGAGGATGTATGCAAAAAAGCCATTGGGATAAAACGAGAAAATGAATGAAGAGAAAAGCGAAGAGACAAAATGAAAAACATGTCTAATCTAACCGGTGTGGTGGTAAAATATGACATGGAGATGTACAGACACACACGCACACACACAAAGATAAATTTTTCTGTGTAAGGACAAACGAATGACCAATAACCAGATCATGACAAACTACGATCACATAACCAGCCTTTTGTCGATTATTGATGTCAGCATAATCATTATATATATAAAATAGATTCTCTGAGTCAAATAGAGTAGCAGCACCCAATATGCAACACTAATTCACTCTATCTCTTGAATAAAGAAATAAATTATGAGATAATTGAATCTCTGAAATTTTAACGATAATGTCTAAAACGTGATGTGTTCATTTATGATCGACAGATATATCAGTGAACAGTTGTGAAACAAATGTTCGGGAAATACTAATCAATAGGCATGAGTACTTGATGATCACTTGTTTTATAAGTTGGCAATACTCGGTAGTTAGCTCGAATTAATCTACTTCAGAAAAGTCAATTTTACTGTAATTTTAAATCATTCAAGAGCTTATCGAAGTTGGCTTTAAGTATCATGAAACAACCTTTTAAAAAAGCATAGATTAACTACCTTGTCGGGCTTAATGAGACAAGTGTTTAGTAATTAGATCTGGAGGTCACAAACTTACATCAAATTGATGGTTTAAATTACTTGAATAACAACTGAAATACGTTGAAGAATTATATATTTAAAATCAATGGATGGATATTTTGACTTAGACTGGGATTCCTCAGAAATCAAGATATTAGGTATTATCTAAGTGAAGATAGATGTATTTGAGTGAAATTGAAGGACAATTATGCTAAGCCCCGAATCCCCACATTTGAATGACGCTAGCGATACTAACCTCCCAATGCCCTGGTACGGTAGAGAGTGGTGAGAGTTCACTCTCTTTCGAAATGCTCACACTTGGTCCACGTATACAGCCACTGATAGGGAAGTCCTACTCACTACCTTTTCGCCGCAGGGGTGTTGTTTACGACATTGAGAGGATAAAAAGCGAATGACCGGGGCTTGAAACCGGGTCAGTGAGTAAGGGGGATTCAACTAGGGGAGTTGGGAAACCCTGATCCCAAACTAATGATGCACATGGACTCCAGGATCCTGAGGGAACAAATGGGGTATAAACCTATTGTTGGTCACAAAATACCATGGGATCGCATCTCTTAACGTTGCTCCATTGCCTTGTGAATTAGATCTTGAGATCAAAGGTTTGGGGAGTGACCCTATAAGAGAACTACAAGCTTCGGTTTGGTCACCCGGGCACTACATCCCAGCCTTTATACAAATCATATGTGGTGCATATATATTTTGGTGCCACTTTGTAACATTATGGGTTTGAATAAATAAACTGGACGATGAACAAATGATAACCTTTATTTAGTTCTTTGCTCAGTTTTAATTCATTTTAAAGATGAAAGATAAGCGCCTGAATGAACGTTTTACCAATCCCAACAAGGAAATTGATTCGATTTTCATGATATTCAACAAAGATATTAGGATTATTGAACAAATATGCTTGAAATTTCTTTTAGTTTTGCATTGTATATATGTATAAACACAAAAACAAAACACACTCACCACTTTCTATATCGATGATAATTGAACTTTGCATTGATGCAACCATCTCTTTAGGTGATAAACTACCAGACATTGTTCTATTACATGGTGATGAAGATGATGGAGATTTCCGATGACTGGTAGTATCATCAACACTGACAGATTGTTTCACTGCCAAACGATCATTAGTAACAGGATCAAATGATGAATGAGGTGATTCTTCTGTAATTGATTGCATTTGACCTCCTGTTAGAGCAGTAGAACGAGATAATAACATTGAATTTCGTACCGTTGTGGATATGTTATGTTCATGATGATCTGCCATAGAACTATTCATATCTGTTGAAGTAGATGACATTTGACCATGTAGTGAAAATAACCGGTCCACTGAAGCTTGCATACTGGCGGAAATATTGGCCGATTCTAAATTAGCATTTTGATTAGTGTTTTGATCAGCTGAAATATTTTGTACTTTATCTTCTGACATAGTATTATTATCTTGTGAATTTGTAGATGCAACTTTTTGGTTGGAATTAGATTTTTGATTTAAAAATTGTAAATTCGGATTAGGTGGAAGACGAAATCCCGACAAAGAATGAGTCATTAACCGAGGCTATAGGAAGAAATAAGTATGAAAGAACTTATATGGAAATCTGATGAATTAAAAATCTAGGCTATATTGGAAGAAAGAATGGCTGATTAGATCATAAAGAAATCCCTCTTGATGTAAATTATCATATCGAACCCAGATGAACCAGAAGAGGGTTCGCGGGTAGAATATCATATAAGCTAGAAGATACGAACAGGTTTTGACGTTTTACTCCCAAAGAAAAAGTAAATATTGTTTGCTCACATCATTGGACTCAAGCCTCAAGTAGTGGCATATTCTGGGGATTACTGAGCTCAAAACTGTGGCCACCAGGAAGAACAGGCAAACGACGGGAATGGGGTGGATATTCAAAAAGAAGTACAGATCGGGAACAAAAATTAGGTGCTTATTCACATACACAAAAGGACCTCACCATTCTGATGGGAGATCTAAATGCCAAGGTCGGAATAGACAACACTGGATATGAAGATATTATGGGACGACATGGACTGGGAGAAAGAAACGAAAATGGAGAAAGATTTGCAAATTTGTGTGCATTCAACAAATTAGTCATAGGAGGCACAATATTTCCACACAAGCGTATACACAAGGCTACATGGATCTCACCGGACCACACTACAGAGAACCAGATAGATCATATTTGCATCAACAAAAAATTCCGAAGGACAATGGAAGATGTGAGAACCAGGAGAGGTGCTGACGTAGCTTCAGATCACCACCTAGTTGTAGCCAATTTAAAATTGAAGCTAAAAAAGAACTGGACAAGTGGACAAACAGCACTACAAAGGTTCAATACAGCCCTCCTTCGAGATACTGTCAAACTCAATGAATTCAAGATAGCTCTCAACAACAGGTTCCAAGCCTTTCAAGATCTACTGAAGGAAGAAGAAACTACCATGGAGGACAACTGGAAAGGCATCAAAGAAACATTGACTTCAACGTGTCAAGAGGTTCTGGGTCTAAAGAAACACCATCATAAGGAATGGATCTCTATAGAAACACTGGATAAGATCAAAGAAAGGAAGAACAAGAAGACAGCAATTAACAACAGCCGAACACGAGCAGAGAAAGTCCAAGCACAAGCTGAATACATAGAAGCAAACAAGCAAGTGAAGAGAAGCATTAGAGCCGACAAGAAGAAATACGTTGAAGAACTAGCAACGACGGCAGAAAAAGCTGCTAGAGAAGGAAACATGAAACAGCTTTACGATACAACGAAGAAATTATCAGGGAAATACAGTAAACCAGAGAGGCCGGTCAAAGACAAAGAAGGCAAGCCAATCACTGAAATTCAACAACAGCGAAACAGATGGGTAGTATACTTCGAGGAACTCCTGAATAGGCCGGCTCCAATGAATCCACCGAACATCGAAGCAGCACACACAGATCTTCCTATAGATGTCAACCCACCAACGACGGAAGAAATTAGAATGGCCGTCAGACAAATCAAGAACGGGAAAGCAGCAGGACCCGACAACATACCAGCTGAAGCACTGAAATCAGACGTCGAAGTAACCACAAGCATGCTTTACCCTCTATTCAAAAAGATTTGGGAGGAGGAACAAGTGCCGATGGACTGGAAAGAAGGACACCTCATCAAGATTCCAAAGAAAGGAGATCTGAGCAAATGTGAAAACTACAGAGGCATTACACTACTGTCAATACCAGGGAAAGTCTTCAACAGAGTGTTGCTGAACCGGATGAAGGATGCAGTAGATGCCCAACTTCGAGATCAACAAGCTGGATTCCGAAAGGATCGGTCGTGCACAGACCAAATTGCAACACTACGGATCATCGTCGAACAATCAGTTGAGTGGAACTCGTCACTATACATCAACTTCATTGATTATGAAAAGGCATTCGACAGTGTAGATAGGAGGACATTATGGAAACTTCTTCGACACTACGGAGTTCCTGAGAAGATTGTCAATATTATCCGGAACTCATACGACGGACTACAGTGCAAAGTAGTGCATGGAGGACAGCTGACAGATGCATTCCAAGTAAGGACCGGAGTCAGACAAGGCTGTTTACTCTCTCCCTTCCTCTTTCTTCTGGTGGTCGACTGGATTATGAAGACCTCAACATCTGAAGGAAAACACGGAATACAATGGACAGCTCAGAATCAATTAGGCGATCTGGACTTCGCAGATGACCTAGCCCTCCTATCACGTACACACGAACAGATTCAGATGAAGACAGCCAGTGTAGCAGCAGTCGCTGCATCAGTAGGCCTCAGTATACACAAAGGGAAAACCAAGGTCCTCAAATTCAAAGCGGAGAACAGCAATCCAATCACCCTTGATGGCGAAACTCTGGAAGATGTAGAATCCTTCACATACCTGGGAAGCATCATCGATGAACAAGGAGGTTCGGATGCAGACGTAAAGGCGAGGATTGGCAAAGCAAGGGCCGCATTCCTACAATTGAAGAACATATGGAACTCAAAACAACTTTCAACCAATATCAAAGTGAGTATCTTCAATACGAATGTCAAGGCAATTCTACTGTATGGAGCTGAAACTTGGAGAACTACAACAACCACAATCAAAAAGGTACAAGTATTTATAAATAGCTGTCTACGCAAGATACTCAACATCCATTGGCCGGATACCATCAGCAATAGCCTTCTGTGGGAGAGAACAAACCAACTTCCAGCTGAAGAAGAAATTAGGAAAAGACGATGGAAATGGATAGGACATACATTACGCAAATCGTCAAACTGCATCACGAGGCAAGCTCTAACTTGGAATCCTGAAGGGAAGCGGAAAAGAGGAAGGCCAAAGAACACATTACGTCGGATAATAGAAGCAGATATGAAAAGGATGAATTACAACTGGAAGGAGCTGGAAAGGATTGCCCAGGACAGGGTTGGATGGAGAATGCTGGTGAGCGACCTATGCTCCTTCACGAGGAGTAACAGGTGTAAGTAAGTAAGTAAGTTCTTTCTACACTTTTGATATCAAGACAAATAATTTAGCGATTCACCGATAAGTTACCCTAGAATGGAAACGATATCCAGTAAAACCATAAGAGTTCAATTAACTCAACTACATGTACAAATAATCTTAAGCGAAAATTTGTTGACAAATGTATGCTATTCCCCAAGAATACAACTAAACTCAACATAGAAAGGAATTTTAAATCCACCATTTCGAATTTTAAAACCACGAGTGTATATTTGAATCAAGTGCTCCAAAACTCGGGTTTTCGATGGCTGATTAAATGCAAGTTTTTAGGAACTTGTGCATCTCCCAATAGTTTAGTTGTCAGCTACCGTTTAGTGTTATTTGTATTTATTTATGTCTTCTTGTTACCACTTTGTATGGTCTAACATTGTCCATAACTAATTGATGTGATTGAGATCAAAGGTGATAGATGTGAGAAAATTCGACATGGAAAATCCATCTTAAATGGAATACACGTGATTTTCTTCATCGTTTTCAGTTTAAGTAGACAACTCATACGAAAATCTTTGTCTACCTTATCAGTCAAATTCGATATAAAAAAGCGAAGAAATGAAAAGTGGCATATATAAGAAAGCTTACACCACGTCGAGATAAATTTGGTAAACCAGAACTCCGAATAACTGGACGCAAACCTGTATTAATACCATTATGATGATTGATGTCATATTCACCGTTAAGTTCATCATTTTGTAATGACGGTGGATTCATGCGTAAGAGACCACTGGAAAGTCCTTCATAAGCAGGAATAAGACTTCGCATTAATTCACCACTAGGTCCTTGAAGATGGCCTCTTTTTAAAGCTGGATTATGTATTGATAATACTGAACGCTGAATACTCGATCCCATTATGGTATTTGATTCTGGTATGTGAGTATAAGGAAATACGAGTGGTTTCACAGTAGGTTGAGTTAATATATGTTCTGGCCATAAACTAGATTCAAGTGTTGGTCGATTAATTGGTTGTACTTTCAAATCTAATTCATATGATTGGAATGGTTGACTAAAATTCACTGGTTTCAATGATTGAAGCCATGAATTTAATGATAAATCCGGTGCAACAGGTTGACGACAATGACTATTAGAATGACTATGTGCTCGTTGATTTATTTCATTGTTTTGTGTAGTATGTAAAGAAATATTCTGATTGTAAAGACGTTCAGTTTCTTCTTCTTCGTCTAAATCACCTAGAAAACACGCAGAGAGAAAGACTATTTAATTATGAAATGAACAATATATCGATTGTAAAAGTTTAGTGAAATCGGTAGCTTTATATCTATTGGGAACATCAACATTTATTATTATTATTATTATTATTATTAATTATACAGTGTTTAACATGGTCTTCATCGACATTAGCTAGGATTATTGAAAACTAAGGTCAATTAGTCAAAAGCAACATAGAACTTGACGCATATATGTGTCGGTCGACGCTGCAGTACAACATCATTACAGCGAGACCAAGTTATCAAGACAAATTGCGAAGCAGTAGCAGTAACGGTATTAGTGACAATATAAAAATTAAGGATACACAATATGTTTCAAGAGAAAAGAATGAATTGGTGAAATGATAAAGATGATCTTAAAACTGAAGATTCAAGGTGAAGCAAAGAGTGAATATATCTGCGTCAGTAAGATCGATTCTGAGAAACACCAAAGTTTCTAACCATTGGTTATGATAATCAAACGGATCTCAATGAAGTAGTCTGCACCTACCGAAATAGCTCAGTTCGACAGTCAATTACTTTATGAATTGATGTTACGTTTTGGTTTGATCACTCCTTTCAACCAACTCTTACATAACATTAAGGGGTATTAGAGAGTTTTTTAGGTAAAACTTGAAACTTCTTACAAATAGAGTGTATGCACGACCCAACTCATAAGATCGCAATCCAAAGTGATAATAATACCTAAGTTTGACAGTCCTAGAAGGAAACTTGTTATTCGATTATATCTGGACTTCAATCCTTTTCCTTTTAACGTTTAGTGTGTCATGAGAATAAACATTTAAAATAAACAGAAAAATTCAGCTAAACTATATGATGGTTTGACCTACAAATGTGGAACGGTCAAGAATAACCAACAATTTTGATACAAAATTGAATATGTATCCACTTAGTGTCAATGTGTCGTTCTATAGTTGCTTACAATCTAATAGAAATCAATGTGACAAAAAATATTGACCTGAATAGGAAAGAGAATAATAACTATGATGTAGTAAGAATCAAAGTGTAGATGTAAGTAGTTAGAGTGATCATGTTCATGAATAATAAAATTATTTAACAAAGAAGGACGGTTAAAAGTGTACGTTCTATAAAAATAAAATATAACAAAATAGTAACTATAAGGACAAAAAATATGTTTATAAGTAAAGAGTACAAATTATGCAAGAAATTATCATTGAGATGATAAATGGGGACAATTGCTTTTTTGATTGTGAAGGTTAGACGTTAGTTGTTCAACAGTTACGACCTAATAAAAGAACGAGCAAATTTGAATCAACTTGGTTATACTAGGAATTTTAAGACTTTGAAATGATGCCCTGCAATTAAATAAGCGATTAACAAATGCATCCGTCGAAGATTTATGCACTTTTGAGTTCTAGATGTGTTTGGGATGAACAATACATTTTAGTTTTAAGATAGGTACTTTAGTTTGTACACTTGGTAATGACATAAAAAATGAGTTATTGGATTTGTCACATAGAGCCTCTTCAATAGATAGTGACTAGTTTAACAGGTAGACAGGTCGTTTTTAGTGTAACATTTATTCCACGGTCGATTTATCTAGCTGTTAAACCGGATGTCCTTAGGTACTATTATGGAGCTATGAGCAGTTCGGTCTTATATTTGAGTCAAAACAAAGGAATAATCTATGAGTAGTTCGGATCGCGCTGGATTGCATAACTTGGGATGATTTGTGTAGTCTAGTGACGACTACTCATTAAATCCGAGTTTATTGATATAATAGGCGTTATAAACAAAGTCTCCTTGTATACACTTATACATAAAGAATTCGACACAAACGTGATTCAAATCTATTTAAAGAGTAAATGACAGTAAGATTATAATTTTGTAGATAATTCACAAGCCTAGAAAATCAAGGTCTAATTATCTGATGCACATGTTGACTAACAGATGAACGCGTGAAAGCTGATCATTCTGAGTATGTCTGATAAGACTCTACATTATGTCGCTGATATCTAAGGATAATCACTTTTAATAAGATCATATAGGTTCCAGTGACATATGATCCACGATAGCTACAATATTTAATATCATGATTCAACAATGATTCGTACACTTAAGAAGTAGCTTATATTGTTTATGAAGATATTAAAATGTCAACCTAGCTGCATTTATATCGAGTACTATTTGTTGTCACTAGGACAAGGTTAAAAGAAGAGAATTTTTTGGTTTATGAGTGCATATAATCTAATTGTGTTGGACATCATTTGTCATCAAAAATAAAATAAACAAAATCCTCACTACTTTTGAAACCAATGTGCACATAAACAGAATATATTTTTCAACATGGTTATTTTTATATTCATCGATAAGTTAATGTGGATATCTACTGTTGAGTAGGTATCTTTTGACAATAGAATATTATTCTAAAATGTTTTTGAATACATTTGAATTGGATCTTCTTCAGCTGGAATAAAAATAGTTGTTGAATGAAAAATTAATATTTTACCTAACAAATACCCATATATGAGGTACAGATGCTCAAACCAAAGACAGTAGAGTTAGAGCTGGAGAAACGCTAGTTGAAAGACCAATACTAAACGCAAAATATAAAGCTCCGCATTTATCACTACACTAATTGGAAATTTAAGTAAAGGGGTTTTGTGGAGATTGGTTCAATTTGTAGATATTATTCGTCACAAGTTGATCACATTTACAGTATCATTGAAAACCAGGGACTACCAGACAGCTGTTTCACTGTAGTATGGAACTCACAAGCAGTGTGAATCTACAACTCTACTAAGGATTGAACCCAGGATCTTCAGTTCTCGTGAAGAACGTCTAACCATCAGAGCCTATGGAATGGCATCCAGTGATATACTTTCAACTTCAATTTATTTGTTGTCATATAATACCACTAGTGATCATTTACTGATGACCAAACAAACTATTTTGTCAACAAATACACAAACCTCCAAGCATTCCAGTTATCTGCATTTGAGCTTTCCGTTCTGTTGCCATAAGAGCACAGTAATCTACACAGGCTTCGTATAGTAAACCTTTAACAAGTAATCGTAAAAGTCGGTCACCACGAGCATTTTCATCAGTTGATGCCTGGCCACTAGATGAATGTTTACTAAGTTGAATAAATGGTTGCAAGAGCGGATAGATCTAAATTGAAATGTTTTCAAAGAAAAAGAGAAATAGTAAAAGAAACAAAAAACAATAGAGAGGAAACCCACTAGTCTTATAAAAAAATTTAAAATTAGACATTAAATGTCTCAACACGCAGATTTATGTAGTAGAAAAAGAACACTGGTAACTCGCTTCATGCATTGTCCCTAATTTTACAACATCATTTTTAATACTTTCAAATCTATGATTTTACTTGCACACTGAATAATCTCAAATGACGCTATTCTTAGCTATTTCATTAGCTCTGTGATCTTAGAATACTCAATGCAGGAGGAAAAGTCGGAGACTAGAGAATAAATTGCGTCGGAAATTGGAGGTAGATATTTTAAAAAACGAATAACATTTGGTGATAACTGGAAAAGATAGTCCAGGACAGAGTTGGTTGGAGAATCCTGGTGGGTGGCCTATGCTCCATGAGGGGTAACAGGCGTAAGTAAGTACGCAATTATTTTTAGCTATTATTTTGATGTTATAGAATCTTTGCTTTCGCCTAATATAACTTATTAATAAAGGACGAAGTCGAAAAAGTTTCGGACCTGATATTTATTTAAAGATGAAAGATACTATTGCGAGCTACCCAAACAAAACAAAAATGATAGAAGCTATAAAAAATGTTACTTCACATACACAAAGTGAAAAAGCTTACACAAAATATCATTGATAGACTAGACGATTCCAAATAGATCACAGGCTATCTCAAGGCCACTTGAAAATGAGAAATGCAAATGTAGACAACAGATTGTGAGTAGGCGAATTATTCACCCAGCCGAGGTTACCACCTGTTATAGCTTGTGAACCTGTGTGCCCAGTTTATTGTATAACACAACGATACCGTCAATCAGAGAGCAGCGAACTATCGACCGAACCATGTGCGAGCAGAGAATAAATAACCAAGAAGTGACTTACACTAAGTCACAAAACATCAGAAAATCTCATTTTTCTACTCATTGGGATATTACAAATATATCATTAATTTATAACAATCTACCCAATGCTCAATTTATTCGAAATTATCGAGTCAAACCTTGGTAATGATACCTATAAAATGAACGGTTAAGACTTAGGTGAAATCACTACAACCAAATAATCCCTGTTAATTTGTGTTTTTACATTTGTAGTTATTGCTTGACCCAAAGTGAATTATACGAAAGTGTTATTACATGTGAAATAATTTCACAGTAGGATAGATTCATCTGAAACACTCGTCAAGGAGAAGCTGATATCTTTGAAAGTACTGATGCTACCATACATCACTCCTAATATATTTTGATGGATACCGCTGGTCGACTGTTGTTACACATAGTCTACATAACGATAATTACTACTCAGTCAACCATTGTAGTTCGCCTATTTCCCGCTGCCTTCTTCAGCAGTTTTACGTAGACAGCATTAACTAGTGTGATTTTTTAATGGTTAAACATGTATTTCTAAATATTTAATAAATATTCAGCATCATTTTTATCCCCTAACAATCATTAGACTAGCAGTTATAAACATGCTGATGTCTCATATTACATTGAAATGAATTGATAAGCAATCTTTCTAACTAGCCATTCAAGCCAAAATGTGACATAAAAAGGGCATAGAAACTAGTTTTTTCTAACTACATGCTAAACAACATGCATAGAAAAGTGGTTTTTACTGAGAAGTAGAAAACAAACAACGTCAACTATGCTATTTTATTTACTGTTTGAGCATAAATCTTAACTATCCGCCAGTTTTTATTTACACAAACTGAAAGTAATGCTGAAGGCAGCAGGAGATGAGTGAAGGAGGGGTGGGCGAAGAGAGATTTAATATAATTATTTATCAATATTATTAAAACTAACTTGATTAAAGCATTGTAAACGGCCTAAACTTGGATTCCAATAGCGATAATCCGGATGTTGGTCTAATCGTGTTAAAGTTAACAAAAGAGTTAAATCACGATATTCTGCCTGAGTTTCACACTCAGGTTCTAACTGTTTCAAACAATCAATAACCTGTTGTCGTTTTTTTTAGAGAATAACAAAAATAATAATAAAATAATGTGTTATTTATAAGAGAATAATGAATATTGTACATTGATAAATAATCTATTGTGGGGTTTTTGATGCATTCCTCTTTAAATTTAATTTATTCAAATAAAGATAAACAAAACGTATAAAAACAATTCAATAATGCTTGTAAAACTACAGAAATTGTATAGAGTAACCATTATTGTTAAAACAGATAGACTCAGGAGAATTTTTAATGAATCCATGTTAACAGATCAAGTAAAAATTAGATTAGCTCAATGTAATTAGTTTGTAGTTTACAAAAAAATATACAGATGTAGGACAGGATAATAGAACATTGATTAACGTAACTATGTTAAGTGAACCGGTAACATTTAATTATATAGCTTGAAATTGATTTTAGGTTCTAGTAAGGTGAAACACAATCTTGCAACACACAAACTAACCTGTTCAACACCATGATCTATATTATTTTCGTTAACATTAACACCGGTAGACCCATTAGCTGAATTATTCCCATCCAAGTTAGTTACATCACGTAGACACAATAATTCTAGATACTTATGTTTTAATAATAAAAATCGGGGCTTCCTAAGATCTAACGCAACAGGTGGACCTCGTAATGGTTCCAAATAGTCAAGTGCATCGTCCCACTACAACAACAAAAAACGAGGAAATGATTGTTAGAACAACTTGATACATTAATAAACTTATCGCGTACAAATAAGAATAATCAAACTGATAATTAGCTCATAGAAATTATTTCTAAATCATAACTGAAAAAAGAAACATTCAGAATACAGAACCACATAATAAGGAATTTAGGCTATCATTTATTTATAAACCAGTTAACAAAAAAAATTGAGTTATTTATCTGATAATAAGTAATTAACCAGTATAAAAATGAAAGTCACAGAATAAATAGCAACCAACGGTCCATCACTTCTACATAAAATAACAATGTATGATTGCATTTTATCTAAAACTATTATATCTCCTCCAAATCCGAACTGAATCGACCGAAAAATGGATTGCTTTTCTATTATTATTGTGATGGACACTACTTACAAGATAGCTTATAAATAGCATGCAACGGAGCGCCTCAGTTGCTGTAGTCGACAGCCGAAGACAGAAAATGGGAGGGTAATTACCTGTGGGTTAGTGGTATTATCTAAATATTTAAGTATAAAGTCTAATTTCTGAGGGATACCAACATAATTAACACAGTATATTAATACATATAATATCTTGTGAAATGTTGGTGCATGCAGTTATAAATCTAATCAAACTATATGTGAGAAAAAAATTCTCTGCTGTGAAGGGCGGCCTGCTTGAGCATCTGGGCTACCTGTTCCTCCCATCTAGATATTTAAACAAGTTATCTATTTTTCTTTGTTTCAATATATCATTATGTCTATTCATCGCATAACCTATTCTGCTGCGTTTCTGAAAAGTGTACAACCTTTCGTTGTCAAAGTTACAAAAAACTCAATAAGAGACAATGTGTTTGCTGGCAATATACAACGAAAAGAATGCAAATTATTCAGATGTTCATTTATGAAACTGCTAACATCTAACTGGCGATCACTCAATATTTATCGCCAGGACCGACCAAGAAGAAAGAAACGGAAACTTGTTGAAATACTTTGCGCTGAGAATTGTATATTGTACCAAAAATATAATATTGAATAAAGCTGATAATAATAACAATAATAATAATAATAATAATATGGTTTTATTTCTTAATAGGTATTAAGAACGTAGTATGTGTATAAACTATTATAATTGACTATTATATCTCTGATCATATGTACATCTTAATAAGACAGCTGAAAACCAATTAGTTAGTTCACTTTCTAATGTGTAATATCTTTCTCTATCTCAGTTGGAATTTGATTGGCAAATTGAGATACATTACATCATTCATTTCAAAAGTTAATCCATATATATATAATATGGTTAAAAAAAATTGTTTTACAGGTATTCTCTAAATATTAGTTACGTTCCTAAACAACAGCTTATACTAATATAAATTGATTGGTGGTTGAAGCAGAAGTTAAATGGTTATAATGTAGCGTGACATTCATTTACCTATTCCAGATTTTTCTAGATTCATTGATTCCCTCCATTATGGCTCCTATTCAGATGATTTTATTAAATGTATTTATTTTTAAAAATGTCAATATTATGTAATCAAATTATTAGTTAGCAGTATTATTTAACAGTGATTTAAGTAAAATTCTTTGAAATATTAATTGAATGATGCAGAATCAAAAACAAAATAATTTTATCTCATCATAATGACTCACTTCAGAAAAATGTAATTCATGTATTAAGCAAGATGATTTAGTCATAGAGATGTGATAATTAATTATTGTTTCATTTTACTTAACTAATTATTGTATTTTCAATAGTTAAGATCATGAGTCAGTTGAAGCTAGACCACCATGGAAAACCTGGAAGCACTGGATGGCCGTTTCGTCCTATTGTGGGATTCGAACTCAGGACCTACTGGTATCGCGCGCGAGCACTCAACCACTAGACCACTGAGCCGGTATCCAACGGTGTGAATGTTTAACTTCAACTAATCCACGAAATTGAGCGACACATCCACCATTGTCTTCAGTGAGTTACTATCTCACAACAGACCTGGTTGAACTCCACTGGTCACTACTTCTCACTAGAACTCCAGGATATACCTCTTGAGGCCAGTCACTAGTGAGCATATGTTGATTAATATCAGATGGATTTTGTAGTCCCACAATAGGACGGAACGGCCGTCCAGTGCTTCCAGGTTTTTCATGGTGGTCTAGCTTCAACTGTCTCATGATCTTAACCATTGAAATTACTATAATAACCACAAAACCCATCTGATATTAATTATTGTATTGTTGGTAAATTTCAATATCATTGTCTATATTTATATTTACTTGAGAATGGTATTTTTCTTATTTAAACACGAAACCTATGGTCATATATTTATTACGGTATAATTTTCTTAGATACTCTTAAAACAGTGACTTTCGACAGATAGGGTTGAAGTTTGAGATATGTTTTAAATTACATGAATCATTAGACGTTTTCTGTGCTAGTTTAGTATGTTGCTTATACAGAACGGTGATTTTGATATCAATTGATTGTAGATGCTAATTGAATGTAGAAGTCATGCTTGTTTGTCATGAAAATCTAGTTGAGTTGTAATGAGTGGATTACGAATTCCTAGTGGTTTTATCAAGTCGCGCGCTGTTTGTAAAGCTGTAAAATCAAAATGGGAAATTTTAGATCCAAAGGAGAGGTTGTACTGTTGACTCTAACAGGAAATCGAAGCAGTAAAATGTTTTCTACGTATAACTGTTGTAACGTGTGACCGCAGATTTTGATAGCAGCGTTTTATCGACCGATTCAATGACACGAAAAACACGTAAGGACGACCTAGAGTCCCTATTGGCCCCGCTTCGCTGTCTAGCCCAGCCAGTTGAGTCCAGAACACAAGTCTCAGCCTCTGAGTTATGAATCGTTATATTTCAAACATACTCTGTTTATATACCAACCAAACAAACCACATCGTACCATTAAATAGAAAACAACATTTGTACAATATTTAACAAGTGAAATAAATATCGACCGATAGGGAATGTCCATTTAACGTCCAAGGACATCATTACACTTAACACGAAAATTATTGGTATATTTTTCCGAACATCCTAACAATAACTAATATCCTCAATGTCACATTTTTAACAGACCTAAGTAGACATACAAAACGCTCGGTCTCTAAAACAGAGAATTCTTATTTTCTTTTGATACTGGTCCCGAAGATAACCAAGTATAGAGCCAACAATACAAAACTATAAACAAATTTCCCTAGGAAGGCCACAAGTCACCGATATCAAACAGTTTTCTATTGAGCTCTGAGGTGCAGCTCTCGGACTGATGGAGATATTAATATCAACCCAGTTTCTTGTTCAGGTTCCCTAAAAAGAAGCATTCTCCTACAATATGCGTAGTTATGACTTCCAAACCACTAGCACACATTTAACATCACCAGGTTTTATCCTACTTACGAGATAAATACTGAACTAACTGCCTATAGGCACTGATCGATATGTTTACGTTGCTTAGTGTCAGGTGTGATTCAATGGTAGATTTAGTTTCCACCACTTGGACAACTCGACAGTAGGATGGATAATGTAACTATGTAGCTTTCAAACAGGTATCTGCTAGGTGTTACGACCGAATAACTACAAAATATTTGGTCACTGGAACATTAGTTCTGACTGAGCTGTTCGCAAACAATTTGGGGACCATTCCACTAACCATCAAGATTGGTTTTTCCATTGAAGTCAAGTTTTAGATAATTTTTATTGAGTTGGCAAAATGGTAAGACTTGACTGAGTTCACCCGGCAAGGGTGGTATCGTAATTGCACAATCGGGGCTTAAACTGGTCAATATATTTCAGGGATTAACTTACATGACCTTCCAAAATTAATTGACGAAAGAATAGTATATCTTCATTGAACGGTCCATTTACTTGTCCAGTTTCTCGTTCTAGGGCTAACATAGAGATAGCTAGATCACGTTTTTCCAAAAATTCCAAAATTAATTTAACTACATCTGCTTCGTATACTGTTAGTTGAACTTTCTCATGTTTTTGCACACTCATTCTCAATAATGTTACAATTCAGCACTAGTGATTAGAAGAGTGATATGTGTATAATTTGATACATCAATTATCTGCTATTCGAAAAAAGAAGACAATTAGAAAACATAATATAGGCGTTAAATAATTACACAACTGTTATAGCTTTAGTAAATGAGAGTATTAAGAAAGATTTCTTTAATGAGTTGTTTTTAACTCTTTTTAATGAGGCAACGTATTTCCTCCCGTGCTACTGACTATCTGGAAGAAGTGACATGAAATATCCAAAAATGAATTGTATGAAATAGTCGTGTAATATGTTTAGTAGAAGGATTATTTCTCATAATACATTTTGCTTTACTCAAAGCACGATAAACTAACAATGTAGGAAAAATTTTTAGGGTTAATTTCCATGAAATCTGTCATTTTCACTTCATTCTCCAAGCGATATGATGCGGGTCCAGAGTGAGTAGGGTACTTCTAAAATTTCCAAATACTCTATTGTAGCTAGGCCTAGCTGAAATTTTGCTTTGGAAGTCTTGTCCCATGAAGATAAAAAAGCTGATTTTCATTTAAATAATGAGTATATACTAAAACATCCTGTAGGGACGAATGCAACTTAGAACATAGAACGACGTGCCCATAGGTTGAAGTTGCCGTACCACACTGGGCAGAGAGCTAGAACTATCAGGACGCTCCCCAAATGCCCTGGTACGGCCGAGAGTGGGGAGTCAGTTCTACCTTTTAGTGACCCTTAATCTGACTACAGTTAGACCGGAGAAATGGTCGTTATCGGGTGATCGCTATCACCTATTCTCGTATGTAATTATCAACTTAATCCACATTGGTGAATAACGAAATCAAACAAGCTCAATACTAGAATGGATTTTCGACTACGTATATTTTGTACAATCATCGATCTGAACAGACAATCAGAGGGACGAAGCGGAGAGAAATGACGCGCAATGGAGAAGGTAAATGAGCCAACTCAATTTAATCAAGCGTTAATCAATATTTATAGTCAGATGAAAATAAGTTACAGATATGTGATGAATGGGATAAGAAGTGCACACACATATGCTCATATGAAAACAGTCAAGGTTGATAAGCAAATAGCTGAAAAGGCCGTAATGTGATTTCAGAACAATGAATAAGTTGGTTTGTCCGGAAGCCAAAATAAGCTTAATGGGCTTAACATAGTAACCGACACTACAACCTCTCGAAATTCTCTCACATGGCTACGTGCATACAACCACTGTCAGGAAAGTTCTACTCACTGAATCCTCGCGGCAAGGGTGTTGCTTAAGGAATTCAGAGGATGAAAAGCGAGTGGTTGGTGTTTTAACCGAGTTGGTGGATATGGGAGATTCACCTGAGTTGGGAAACCCGCATTCCAAACTAAAGCTGCACATCGGATCCAGGTCCTTAAGGAAACAAGTGGCGTATGAGCCTATCGTTGGCCACCAGTTGCCATGGGACTGCATGTCCTAAAGATGCTCCACTGCCTTGTGGATTAGATTTTTAGTCCTGTTACCACAATATAGATTGAATTAAAGAACGTTCCATGCAGGATGTTGGGGAACGCTGATTAGCTATCTCTTAACCAATCAGCGCCAATGGATACTTGGAGAAGACTTTAGAATCTCGCGTAAAATCTATAAAAATACTAACATTTTTCTTATTGTAATTCCTACTTTCATCTACCCTTGTTATTTGGAATATAATTTCGTTCTTGTTCAACCGTGTTCTGATTTGAGAACTGGTCGATTGAAGTAGCGTCGAAGAATACTAAGCAATAGGAAAAGCTGGGTCGTAATAAGAGAAATTATTATAGTTGCGACGGGGGAAATGAGAATATATTCAAGATGCCAATATCAGATGACCAACTCAACCGAATACTACAACAACAGCAAACACAAATGCGGTTACTGGAGACTGACGAACAAGCTTAACCTAGTGATAGTATTGACACTACTGCAGGTTAAATTAGGATTTACCTGTTCAATTAACTCATTGTCGTGTCTGATGTTTTTTAGCCATTTACACTCATCCATCAATGTCTTGAGTGTGACGTTTGGATCTTGATCCAGTCGAATTAAAAGTTTAGTCATAGTCTCAGCATCTTGTGGTGAATGAAGAGCTTTGATGAATATTAGACAAATAAATTGGTCTTCTTTCAATGAGCATAACTAGAACCGTACACACTCTGTTGACGTCTGCTAGAGCACCATATTCATCAGCTTCGTGTTTCACCAAATTTAGACACTGATATCGAATACTAAACAATGAAGAGGAGTCTTTGAATATCTCTGACAATTCAGTTACTGTCTTCTCGAAACTGATTTCTCGAGGTAACATTGGCAATATATGGTCAGCATAATGTGCATGTTCATTTCTTCCCCACTTACTCATCAACAATCGAGTCTTCCACTCGTCATCTTGTTTACAGAATTCTATTCGAAATGTATCTTTCCAACGCTTGGACGACGTGAGAAAGGCATTTCCACTTTCGGGGTCATAGATGAAGTCTGTGATGCTCCCAGCAACTGCACCACACAAAGTATTTGAAATAGCATGTGAACTTGAGCAGTGGATGTTAAGCTTGTTCGTCAGTCTCCAGTAACCGCATTTGTGTTTGCTGTTGTTGTAGTATTCGGTTGAGTTGGTCATCTGATATTGGCATCTTGAATATATTCTCATTTCCCCCGTCGCAACTATAATAATTTCTCTTATTACGACCCAGCTTTTCCTATTGCTTAGTATTCTTCGACGCTACTTCAATCGACCAGTTCTCAAATCAGAACACGGTTGAACAAGAACGAAATTATATTCCAAATAACAAGGGTAGATGAAAGTAGGAATTACAATAAGAAAAATGTTAGTATTTTTATAGATTTTACGCGAGATTCTAAAGTCTTCTCCAAGTATCCACTCAGTCAGTCAGCTACAACGTAGGATCAGGCACATAAATGCATCGGTCCAAGTTGCCATACCTCATTAGCACAACAAAATGAACACCGGATTCATAGAACTAGTTAATTCAGTGGTGGTAATATATAAAAAATGATAGCATATAAGGATATAGTACAGGAAGAAAGAATTAGTCCGTAGAAAGAAAGATGTGAAGCTATCTTAATCTCACGGTTTGAGGGAAGACAGAAAGTGTATACACCGACACTATTGTGATCGATTCTGAGCCATGTCACACAAAGACCCCAACGATTGGTTACGACAGTCACGCGGCCCACAACCAAGTAGTCTGCATCTACTAACATGGCTAAGACTAGAAGTTATTGACTTCAAGTACTGATGCCACGTTTTGGTTTGGCAACCCCTAACTTTCTTCCAACCATCCCCAACACTAGTCAGAATTGCGCGTTGTGGTAATCGGTGTTCATGCATACGTAACACGTGGCCCAACCATCTCAGTCGATGAAGATTCACAGCCTCACCAACTGATTTACCATCATTATTTATTTGAACACATAAATATTGGTACAAGAGGGTACCAAATATATAGGCGCCACACTTTTGTGTGAGGGCTGTGATACTGCCCGGGTGCCCAGACCGAAGCAGGTGGTTTTCCTAGGGGGCCACACTCCGAACCTTTGACCTAAAGGTTTGATCCACAAGGAAGTGGAGCATCGTGAGGAGATGCACTCCCATGGTAGCCGGTGACCAACGATTGGCTCATACGCCATTTGTTCCCACAGGATATTTGAGCCCATGTGCACCAGTTGTTTGTGATCCGGTTAAAACGCCGGGCATTCGCTTTTCGTTCTCTCATTTTCGTAGACAACACTCCCGTAGACCAGTTCTGAAGCAACAACTTGCATTTAGAGGGAGAGAAGCGCATTCTAAACATTCTGGCATTGTTGCTTAGTGCTACCAGAGGACTCTGTATTTTATCAGCGTCCTCACCAAACAGGACTATGTCATTTGCGTATTCTAAGTCGATAAGTGGACCTCCTGGAAAGAAATCAATACGCGAGAATTCAGTCAACGAGAATGTTATTTCCATCAGTAGGTCTGTAATGAAGTTAAACAAAAATGGGGGGAGTGGACAGCCTTGACGGTTAAAGCCCACCGAGCTTTCCGGATTGGTGACAAGATTTCATTAGACATCAACCTACTACGGCCTTTGGGATTTCCAGGGTAAGTTAAGTGACTGAAACGCCCAACTGCTTCACTCCCTGCTAATAGTCCAGACGTTGACGAAAACCAGTCGTAATCTTGCATTTAGATGGAGAAACGCATCCCAAACATTGTTGCATTGTTGTTTAAGGGGGTCGGCAAACCGACTTTTCTAGGTGTCTTCATCGAAGAGAAATGTGATGTGCATATTCAAAGTCAATAAGTGAATTTCATTATATAAGATTGATTTCTGACGAATCGGACGAGTGCTATTTCCAAAGGAATGTTCACGGTGGAGTTAAACAAGAATGAGGAATGTGAAAAACCACGAAAAGGTTACCGATTTCGAAAACAGTTTGCCATAAGCTCTGACTCAACAAGTAACTACAGAATCCAAAATACAGAATAATACCCCATGTCAAAAGTCGGAAATCGGCAGCCAAACCACTACTAATAATCCCAAATTTTACGAGTAGGATATCAAAATGTCGTCTAAGGCTGCAGTTAGTGAAATGGAACTACATCTAGATGGAATTGCGTGGTATTAATAAAATGAAAAACAGCCATGTAATAGATATGTAAATTTAAACGCATATCTCTGTCGAATTGAATACGTGAAAAAATAACAAGATGTTAACTAATTTTTATTGCACTCGAAATATTTACTAGTGTAGTTTCATGCTGCCTTCTTTGGTTGATAGTTTAAGAATACTTATCAGTAACTACACATAATTATTTCAGATGTTGCTGCTGATATCAAGATGGTATTACATTTCGCTGCCAAATTTCAGGTAATTTTTGACAGGAAATACGGGATATGATGCAAGATAACATACCATGCTGCACAAATATTCCTACTCCGTTAAACACTGGGGTCAAAGTGAGAAGCTGGATAAGAATTCTTTGAATGATAGGTTTGAACAGTGAAATATTTACAGCGTGATAACAAGCATATAATTTAAGGCAGACAACGAGAACTTAAGTACACAGTTGGTGGCTAGAACACCTCATATAATGAAAGGAGCTCGCTCAGAGGTTTAGTCATATTAACAGTACTGTAAAAGTGGACTTGGACATGTTTCTTATAGAATACAAAATATTAGAGAACTGATCATCCCAAATACAACTTGCACTCCGTAAAAACACATGAGGGATATCATCGAATATCACTGTCTACTCAGTTAATTCCTAACATTCCACTTAGTGACGTATATTATGACACCCATGCATTGTAGTTATGCGGCGGCTGAACAAATGGTGCGAAGACCCAAGGATTAAGTTCTCTATGAATGGAAAATTAATTGCCAAGTTAGCGGGAAAGTATCAGGAGACATCGCAAAAAAGATTAAAACATAAACAGACTAAGGATTCAATGCAAAAATGACGTCATAATATATAATGCGACCGGGGTTTGCAATCGAGATATTTGTGGTCAAACGCCCGAACACAGACTTTACCAGCAAACCTATTCTATCGTAAGGTTTGATTTAAATTCTTCGCTTGATGTGACTCAAAAATATGAGGAGACTATAATCCATGGACGACCTTTGAGCGACGGCTAAGTGACCTTGAGAATTTTCGCCTACTAACTAGGACTAAATGAGGGTTATAAACCTGTGTAAAGAACAAAGATTATGAGTTACAGTTGATGATTAGAGTTAGGAATTCGATTTAGGGTTTTCATCACGAACTAACACCAGCTAAAATGTCAAAACGCTGTTTAGTAAAACGAATGAGTGTTTTGCGCCAAGGTCTAAGACCCGTTATCTTATGTCTAATTGGTTCGCTCACAAATCAAAGTCTAGCCGCCATAATCAGTAAGGACACATAAAAAACGGGGTCATGGTCGGTAAACAAAATGTATTTTTCAAACACTCTAATTTAGGCATATAAATAGAGAATTTCAAGACGTTTGGCGGACATTATTCTTGTATATAGCAGACGGGCTTACAAGAATTTAAAAGAACAAATACTGACTCTCTTCACTTTGTCTACAACAGTGAACAAAACCCCTTGATATTGCAAAGCTCTCCGAAAAATCAGTTAATGATTTTAGTGAGCTTATATTAACCATCAGCACTTCTAAGATAATTGGTGATGATGAAGTATAATGTAAAGTTTTAGTTGAGGCTTGGTCAACCAAATGTTCCCAGTGATTCGTAAATGTCTTACTCTTGATTTTATATCTGAGTTCCAATATTAGCAAGCGAACTAAGAGGACTGATGATTTACCAGCAGCTCCAAACGCACCTCATTACTTTATGACATACTGTAAGTGGGCAGGGACAAAGGTAGGTTGAAGAATGTTGCCTATGTTATTTCCTCTATTTTTTAGTTGCTTCTTATATTATCGAGCCAAACTCTAGGAAATACTAAAACTCACTACCATCAGTCTTGTATAATTTATTTTATTCAATAAAAATATGAAATTCAGTAAACTTGGTACATATTTGCTGATTAGCATGTTTTGTGTGGTTTTAGGACAGTGGTACAGGAAGAGATATTCTGCATAATAAGTAGCACAACCCTAATTGAAAAGCTTTGTTTGAAGTAACATTTCTCGACTTACTCCATGAATACATAGTGAGAAGCACAAACATACTACGTACAGCAAACAGCTTCAATAGAAATCAACTGCCCGCGTGTTGAGGCACCACTTAAAATTCCACACATAGAAAAATAAAGTGAAACGTTTTGGAGTATCAATAAGGGGTTGTTTTAATATATTAATTATTTTATAAGCGATGTTCTGCTTTATAAAAATTAAACGTGGTTATTCTATCAGGTAGTCACTCAGTAAAGCTGTTTAATAATGCATTTGATGGTAGACAATAATATTGAATAATTTTCTGAATTCTTGCTTTAAAACATAGTAGCCACTTGTATATATTTATGCGACTGACCAGATGATACCCATTCCCGTAATCTTTGTAAAATATGATCGACGGCTTTTGGCTTTACATTGTTCGTTTCCATTTATAACTTTGCAAAAAAAATTAGTGTTTTGATCGGATAAAATATGCGTCTTCATACTTTGTTCATCCTGATTAATTTTTTCATTCTTGATTGATTTATGTTTACTTGGTATAGAGTTTTCCACTTTTTATTATGAACAGTTTATTCATTGTTTAAAATATATACGGGATTTTGTTATTATGTGTTATGTTTCAGTTTTGATTTATGTTGGTTGCAGAACTAAACTTTGCTATTGCAGGTGGATACATTCTCCTCGCTCTCTTTTCTTTCCAGATATTTTTCAGTGATTTCCATTCAGATGACAAAAATGACATGATGCTCTGGGGAGAATTAAACAAGAAGCTTGAACTTCCTAGAATAGAGCCTTTAACGGTCACACAGCTAACTCTGGGGAAGGACCCTAAGCATCAAAATCACCCGAGGCTACTTCGTGTAACATTTGAGAATGCTACCAACGTAGAGGATGTCCTGCAGGCTAGTCATTTAATGAAATCCAATGGGAACGTAGGAATACTGCCTAACATACGTATTCTGAGCGCGATCTCATCTGGAACACCCCTAAAGAATCTTGCGAGAATTTTTCCGCGGAAAAAATATCATTGTGCAAGGTGTACCAGAAAACACCGACCCTAGTCAAACAAACTCTGATATTAGGGAATGGAAATTTATCAAGCAATCCTGGAGGCTCGAAAATATGCTGACTCAACATGTGACGAGACTAGTTAAAAGGGACGGAAATTCTAGACCCCGGCTAGTGTGGATAACTTTCTCATCCTCCCATATGGTGTCTACAACTCTGAAAGCATTTCGTGCCAACAGATGTTGGTTGCTAACTTGAATCCATATGCATACGGGTAAGCCACGTGACGCCAGGAGCTGACCATTCCATTTTTGGACTGTCTTGATCATAAAAAAACGTGTGAAGAACAGGGCCTACGAACTCGGCAAACCTCATAGAGGTAGGCTTCCTGTCCTTTCACGTAAGGCTCATACAGACAAATGAGAAGCTCGCGCGCTTCAAATTGAAAGCATAAACTGCTTATACATGAACGCCACAAGTTTACCAAATAAAATGGATGAGCTACGTGAACTTGACGATGCTAATAAGGCTCATCTGATAGGATATCTGAAACTTGGATATCTTCTCAGTTTACGGACCAGGAGCTAGCAATACTTGGGATGTCTTTGTTTCGCAACGACAGAAATACAGGAATTAGGGTGGATTAGCCTTATACATACGAACCTGCTTGGAGGTACACCAAATTCACAGCCAAGAGTTTATCAATCTAGATGAAACTGCATGGTGCTTGGTAAGGTTGCCTACTGCCTCGAGGTACCTAGTCGGGGTCATCTACAGGAAGCCCACAGCTGACATCGAGTACGATAGTCGTATGCTGGAAGGCTATCCCTCTCTACTCGTCTCGGTTTCACACACATCCTGATTCTAGGTAACTTTAATCTCACGTATACTGGAGGCGATAACTCAATTGAAGCTCAGTTCTTCAACCTCATCGATGAATTGGGATTATACAAAAATGTGAGGTCGGCAACTCGTTGGGAAACAGTCAGACACCATCGCGCTCAGACTGTGTATTCACAAACGAAGAATTTCTAGTTGACAACCTCTCAATCCTGGCTCCCCTGGGAAAAAGCGATCATGCCGTCATAGACCTCAGTTTTGTCAGCAAAACCAAGCTAAGGTATCCCACCAATAACTCGCGTTGGAATTTTAAACGGTTGAATGTGTCAGCTCTACACTACCATCTACAACAGGTGGATTAGGATGCTCACCTCAACTTGATGTGGATGGTCATTGGGACTTCTTACTGCACATGCTCTTATGTGCTACAGAGCAGTCAGTTCCTCGAACAGTCCCCAAGAGCTACAAGTAACCTGCGATCATCAAGAACCTCACTATTCTTTTTCTAAGCCGCAAAAGGCACCGTTGAGCAGAATACAAACGAACTGACAACAGCGGGACTTTCCGAAGTGGACCTGAGGGCTGATTTGGTGTTCTGGAAACTGCAGCACTTAAGATTAGACACTTCTCCTGGCCCAGATATGGTTCATTCTGCTATACTGAGGGAGGTAGCCTCAATCCTGGCAACATTGTCTAGCGTGATGTCCTCACACTCGCCGAGCCGAGGCAAACTACCGGAAAATTGGAGGCTGTCTCACATCACACCAATTTTCAAAGGAGGTCGACGCAATGAACCTTCTTCTGTCATTACCTTCAAAACTCATGGAGTCCCTGATATGCGACGGTTTAAACGACTATCTACTGTCCTTAAATTTCTTCTCACCCCAACAGCATGGTTTTAGGAAGGGTTACTCTTGTATAACCAACCTGCTGACTGCGGTGAACAGATGGACAAGCATCCTCGATCGCAAGGGGAAGGTTGATATTATTTGCCTTGATTTCTCAAAACTTTTGTTAGGGTCAACTATATATGTCTTATCAATAAGCTCGAACGATTGGGTGTCATACCACCTCTAATTGACTGGCTAATCTCATATCTAAAAAATAGACAATTTAAGGTTAAGGTTAACTTCACTTTCTCTCAGGCTATGGAATGTCCTAGTGGGGTCGCCCAGGGCTCAGTACTAGGACCTCCTGTCTTCTTGATCCACATAAGTGATCTTCCTCAACAGGTAACGTCAGACTTACTACTTTTTTGCTGATGACGTGAAACTTTGGAAGGAAACACGCAATCAAGGGGATATACAGGTACTTCAGGAGGATCTAACTCTACTTCAAAGTTGGGCAGACGATAACGGACTTTAAAACTTTAAAGTGTAAAGTCGTCCATCTGCGACATGTCGCAGACTTCAGTTACAACTTAAGAAACTCCTCCCTAGTAGTATCCCGAGTCGAAGAAGATTTAGGAGTCCTGGTACCCTTCAGATTTGAAGTCTTGCGCTAACTGTGACTAAAATGCCTTTCGAACAAACGTTGCACTGGTAACATTGGAGCGCATTTGCGGCCAATCTTATAGTAGAACTCTCAATATAGTCTTCAACAGTTTTATTCGTATCCATTTAAAATACGGAAGCATAGTATTTCCTCCCTCTCTCCAAAAGGATAAGTACACTCTGGAACGCATCGACCGATGAGCCACGAAATCATTTCGGGACTCAATCGCAAGCCTCATGAAGAGTGCCTCCAACCACTTAACCTTTTCCCATTAGAGTATTGGCGTCTTAGAAGTGACCTACTAATGGCTTACAGTATCATTAACACTTCTGGCTATCCCATTAAACACATACTTAAGTTTATTCCCAATACAAACCTAAAGGGTAATACCCAGAAATCGGAGACATAGCAGAACGGACTGTAGACACAACTTCTACTCCCAAAGAGTTGTCAAATTCTGGAATTTGCTGCCGACTGAACTAGTCCAAGCGATCTCCCAGGAGTTCTTTTAAGGGGAAACTTGATCTATTCTTGAGGACTAAGGATAACATATTATGATCTACCAATTTCCTTTTTTCTTCTGTTATCGTTAATATACCCAGGTTACTGCCTGGAGATATTGGTGATCTACTGCTAATAGACACGGGAGCCCATTAAGCGAAAGCTTCTTCGACTCCGTCCACAACCATTTGAACCATTTGTATTACAGTTTAGCGGCCGGCGGGCTTGTAGTATTCAAGGTCAACACATAGGATGAAGTTCGTTGCGCTCGTCAGCGGTGGGAAGGACAGTATATACAATATTATGGAATGTATTGTACATGGCCACAGTTTAGTTGCTCTTGTTAACTTATGTCCTCCAAGATGTGGTGACAAGTGAGTCGTATTAATTAATTCCAAGTTCTTCCTAGAACCTCAGAGATCGACAGTTATATGTACCAAAGTGTTGGTAGTGAGGCTATAGGATACATTTCTAGTGCACTTAAAGTTCCTCTATATCAGACGGAGCTACGCAGAGTGTCCCATTGTAGGCGCATGTTGTACCGTCAATGTTCAAACGACGAGGTTGAAGATCTTTATGATATCTTATGTAAAGTGTTATCTGAAATCCCTGATGTGACTGCTGTGTCAAGTGGGGCTATACTTTCAGACTATCAGCGATATCGTGTCGAGAATGTAACTCGTAGGCTGGGTTTGCGTTCGTTATGTTTCTTATGGCAACGGTCTCAAGAAGAGCTTCTGGAGGACATCGTTTCAGCTGGCCTCGATGCCATAATAATCAAGGTGGTTTTTTAATGTGGTCATGCACCTGTAATAGCACATACTAGGCACAATTGTTGAACTTTGCGGGTATATTAGGTTTTCGAATTTTACCGCTTATTTATTTTGGCATATATCAAACAAGATTTTTGTGTCTGTCATTACCCGTGGTAACAAACCTGAGTAGACCAGTTAGGTTGAACAGTGTGCTTCTATAGTTAGCTTCGTGTTTCACGTGCCCAAATCCTAGATATACTATGTCAACTGGTATGTATGTTTAACAAAAGCTAGTAACCATTGAACTAGGAAATGGTATTCGACGAAACTACTGTCTGGCAGTCTAAGTCTTGGTCAGTGTAGACTGCCTGATTGCGGTCCCTGCAGTAAGTATTATCATTTGTTACGTGGCGCAAAATCAGTCACTTGCAGCTACATCCATTCTTTATTCTCCTTTAGATCTGAAATATCATTTTATAACTTAAATTTGGCACATTCATTTTTTCCAAACAA